TGGGCAAGTAACATGCTCTCAGCCTCAGGGGAAGGCAATGGCAAACCTTCTCTGTACCAGTCTGGCCAAGAAAACCCAATGATACGCTTGCCATAGAGTCACCATAAGCTGGAAATGACTTGAAGGCACACAACAACAACCTTCCTGTATGAGCCAGCTTGGGCTCTGAAATCATCAGGAGAGGCTCTTCTTTTAGTCTCACCACCATTGCAAGCACGGTTAGAGGGGACCCAATACGGCTTTCTTGGTGGCTGCCCCAGATACTGGAACTCCCTTCCCAGGAAGGCCAGAATGGCTCCTTCCATTGGCAGGATAAAACCTTTTTATTCAAAAGAAGTTTTAAAAACAGAAAGCTTTCAAGACAGGAGTAGGGAGTGCTGTATTGTTTCAAATGTTTTAAAGAGCTGTTCAACAGTAGAATGCACTGCCTCAGAGGGTGGTGAAATCTCCTTCTTTGGAAGTTTTTAAACAAAGGCTAGATGCCCATCTGTTGGGTGTGCTTTATGTTTTTCTGAATGGCAGAATGGTGGGTTCTGGAACCAAACCCCAGTGGATACCATGGGGGTCTCCTGTAAAATTTAAGTTTAATTCAAAATGTGAAGGCATCTCATGCCAGCCTTTCCTCAACCCTAAAGCTTCAACTCAAAAAGTCACAATGGACAGATATCAATTTAATAACAAGGTCTTCGAGATCTCTCATTCTTGGCATCATCACAAGTCAAAGTTAACTATATTGCAATTAATAACCATAATAAAAAGTGTTTACAAATATGACCACCCATAATCCTAAATCAGAGCAATCCAGGTAATTTTTAGACAACCTAAAGAACTGTTGCAAAGTGTGAGTTTTCATAAAGTGAGGAACAGGAAACAAGTTAACTTTTACATCATTACTTTTTAGTCACAACAGCAAATGGTTACTTTTTTAAAAACACTGCAATGAGTGTTTTATTTCCTCCGAATTTCTTTCAAAAAAACACATTTCCTGACACAGGGTTTTCCTAGCCAGGGTCAAAAAGGCTGTTTTCAAGGAAGATCCTTTCAGAGCAGAAGTCATTCTGACTCAAAGAGGATGTATAGACTTCCAACCAGTTCATAGAGAGTACCAAAAAAGGGAAAGAGAAATCACAGACAAGGAAGAGCTTGGATGAATGTCAAGTTGTGCAGAATTTTAAACAGTTTTGGTGTTTTTTTTTGGGTGGGGGGACCCAAGATGTGTGTGTTTGGGGAACAGCCCCCCAAAACAGCCTGATGAGGGTTGAGCATCCTTAGTAAATGCCAGTGGCTCCTTTGATGTTCTGGAGATGTGAGAAAAGATAGATCCACACTGGAGAAATAAAGCAGTTTGACACCATTTGAACTGCCATGACTCTATCCTACAGACTCCTGGGATCTGCAGTTTGTTAAGGCACCCGAGCTCTCCAACAGACAAAGCTGAATACCTCACCAAACTACAAACCCCAGGATAGAGGCATTGACAGTTAAAGTGCTTTATTTCTGGATTCTAGCAGGTCTGAAAGTGGAGAATCCCACGTAGGACTTATTTCATGTTTTTATTTGTTGTTTACATTTATATTCTACTTTTTGCTCCAGGGAGCTCAACACTAAATACTGAGTGTACATCTTTTCCATGTTATTTTTACAATAGTCCTGTGAGATAGGTCAGAATGAAGGGGAGAATGACTGGCCCAATGTTTCTATTTCATTCCAATTAATGAATGTAGTATGTTTCATGAGTGTAGTATATGACTCTGGAGACCAGGGTTCAAATCCCCACTGAGCCATGAAACCCACTGGGTGACCTTGGGAAAGTCGCACACTCTCAGCCTCAGGGGAAAACAATGACAAACCTCCTCTGAAGGAATCTTGCCAAGAAAATTCCACAATAGGGCCATCTTAGGGTCACCATAATTTGGAAATCACTGGGAAATCCATCGCCAGGTTTCATGAGCACTGGGGACAACAAGCTGGATCTCCCAAGTCCCAGCCTTTGTCATCCTTTTTACCCCGGAGGAACCCTTGAAATAATTTTCGACAAAAAGAAATTATTATATCTATCCCATGAGAGGTTCGCCTTAGGGTTGTCAGAAATGACTCGAAGGCACACAACAACAAACAAAGCAAAACAAGTGAGGACACCTAAATTGAGGTTGTCATACTTTGGACACAGCATCAGAAGACCATATTGGAAAAGACATTAATACTTGGCAAAGTGGAAGGCAGCAGGAAAAGAAAGAAAGCCATATTATAGGATGATTAACTCAATCAAAGAAACGATAGTTTGCAAGACCTGAGCAGAAAGTCACCAAAAGTCAAGACAACTTGATGACAAGTAACAACAAACAACAATGCTTAAAATAACCAGTCAATAATTCACAGAGGAAGGCCATGGCAAATCCCCTCTGAACAAATCTTGCCAAGGAAATGCAGCGATAGATTTGGCTTAGCCATTGGAAATGACTTGAAGGCGAATAACCACAACCACAACAAGTCGGAAACAAATCAAACTTTTTTGCAAGGCAATATCAGTGGAAAATGTCTGCCTCTTCTGATTCAAAAACATAGCTGTGTCAGTCCAGAACAGTAGGCAAAGGGATCTTGTACTACCTTTTGCGACTGAGAGAAAGACATTGGCAGCATAAAATTTAAGTCTACCTCATCAGATCTGATATTTTAAACAGAGGCTGGGTGGCCATCTGTTGAGAGTGCTTTCATTTTATGTTCCTCCATGGCAGAAGAGGGTTGGGTTGGATGACCTTTGGTGTCTCTTCCAGCTCTATGATTTAACCTCTTTCTCTCAGTTAGTATCAAAGGTACTACAAGATCTCTTTGCATGTCTCTTCTGGGGTTAGACATTATCAAGAGTGAGACAGAGGCAGCATCTGCATTGCAGAAATAATGCAGTTTGACACCAGTAACTGCCATGGCTCCATGCTACAAAATCCTGGGATTTGTAGTTCTCCGTGCACCAGAGTTCTCTGACAAGAAGATTCAATAACTCACAAAACTACAGATCCCAGCATTCCACCGAATTGAGCCGTGGCCAGTTGAAGCAGTGAGCCAGTATGGTGTAGCGGTTTGAGTGTTGGACTAGGACTCTAGAGACCAGGGTTCGAGTGCCTATTCAGCCATGAAAACTGACTGGGTCCAAAACACACTAAAGAAAGTTTGAGACTGCTTTAACTGGCCTGGCTCAATGCTAGGGAATTCTGGGAACTGCAGTTTTGTGAGACATTTAGCCTTCTCTGTCAGAGAGCTCTTGTGCCAAAACAAACTACAATTCCCAGGATTCCTTAGCACTGAGCCAGGGCAGTTAAAGCAGTCTCAAACTGGATGATTTCTGCCATGTGTTTTGGACCTGAGTAGCCTTAGGCAAATCACACACTCTCAGCCTCGAAGGATGGCAATGGCAATCGCCTTCAGAAGAAACCTTGCCAAGAAAATCCCAGTATAGGTTCAGCTTAGGGTTGCCATATGTTAGAAATGACTTGGA